TGACTGCTCTTGCAGAGGATCTGGGTTTGATTCCCAGCACCCACATGGTGGCTAACAACCATCCATAACTCCAGTTCCAGGGGAATCTGACACTCTCTTCTGACCTCCACAGGCATTGCATGACATGGGTGTAATTACATACATACAGGCAATACACTCATACACATAAAATAAAAAAAGATAAAATATTAAAAAAAGAAATTACATGGATAAGTTCTGTGTTTCGGAGGTTGAGCCAGCAGCCCATCGGCCAGAAAGCAGTATTGGCTACAGGATATAAGAACCTAAAAGCAACCTTGGATAACTTCTAAGGCTTTGGATGGTATCATCAGCTATTAGAAGAGGGAAGAAGAATAGATTTGGAGCAGGTTCTGTTTAGGTCAGCTTGAGTTTCAAAGGCCTGGTATCATTAGTCTCCAAGCAGGTATATCAAACTTCACATTGTCACAAATCTCTTACCCACTCACTGTGTTTCTTCACTTGGAAAATGAGGTAATGCCTTCTCTCCACATGCCTCCCAGAGCTGTCCTAAGGGTCATGTGTATTTGAGAGAACTTCATGGATTTCAATGTGTCTTATAAAACTTTTATTACATCAGACAAGGAAGCTAAAACCCAGAGTAGTTAGGTTCCTGGACCAAGGTTATCCAGCTTGGATTAGAACTTTCAGCCTCTGACTTAACAGTCTGTCTCATGACACCATGGTCTGCTGTTTTTGCCTGCTACCTGGATGGTATTTTCTGCTCTGACTGCTTGGTGGTGGTAGTGGAGGGAAGGTTTTATATGGGGGTCCTGTCTTGCCTCATCAAGAGTTTTCCACTACCATCAGTTGTTACACACCCAGTCTATCCACATTCTGATGGTCAGAGGCCCTGGGGATGCTTCCATGAACTTCGTTTTTCAGGGAAATCAGGGTTAAAATGTGAAATCAGAGGTCACAAACTTGCTTGCATAGTGCTTTAAATTTAACTATTGGTCAACAGGGTTTTTGTTATTTTTTAAAAGTAGGGAGATGTCACATAAAACAGAGCTTCCTGCCTTTTCTTGACAAATTGGAAGACTTGCTTCTGACACTCTACTAGAGACTGTCACCCTTTGAAAAGGGGTGTGCACTGTTTAGTCTCCACGCCCCAGTGTTCCCCACGGTGAGGCTGCTAGCTCCTATTTAGCATCATCTACTGTCATGATTTTCTCACTTCTATGACCTGTCTGGACTCCAAAGACATCTGGGTCTGTAAGTTCCCATCTAAGGAGCCTCATTTGGTGACTGAGGGCTGGAGACCCTGCCCCTGTCCCTTCTACTGGGCACAGAGGTGAAGAACATACAGGGCTCAGCCGACAGTGGCACCATCAGGACCTCTGACTCAGACGACTCCCCACTTCAGGCCCACCAAGGGCCACAGAAAGGAGGGGCAGCTTCCCTGTCTGATTTTGATCTGCTCCACCTGGATTTCTGTGAAGCCCTAGACACTTGGATTTCTTATTTTCACAGCTGCAGAGCTCAATGAGAAGTTTGCATAGAGGATGGTTTCCATCCTCCTCGAGCCATCAGAAAAGATAATTTCATAATAAAACCTGTGGGTCCTCCACCCACCACCCTACTGCTGCCAACTCTGAGGAGGTTTGTTCTTTATTGGAACCTTCAGTTCCCACTTAGGCAAATTCTACCCACCCCACCCTTCCCACGGGGAAAAGTAACTCAGGCCTTTGTTCATGAGTCTCCCCAGAGTTCATGGCCCCAAACCAGGCTGCAAATGGATGCCAAGTTGGAGCAGCTGTTGGTGTGGACTGATGAAGACTGAGTCATACCTGTGGTCTTGGAGTCACTCAGGAAACCTCTAGAGCCTGTGTATGCTAGGTACCCAGGCTGCGTTCTGGGGCCCAGAGCTGCTTGAAGCTCTATCCAGGATGGAGAACCCAGGTCCTTCCACCCTTGCACTATTATTCAAAGAGCCCACAGCCTCTCTCTATACAGAGCCCCAGGTGGGTAAGGTGCACCTAGAGTTATAGTCCTGGACAGGTGGCATGCTAGGAAAGCAAAGCCATTTTACATCTCAGTGGATGTGGAACATTGTCCTGGGTGCTCTCTGTTGCCTGTACCTTGTCCCTCCTTGTCTCTGACAACTGAGTGTGAATTTCAGCTGGACATAGTGGTGCACACTAAGCTGGAGAAGGAGAGTCCTAAGTTCCAGGCTAGCCTGGGCTACAGCCCTTGTCTTTGTTTTTGGGGTTTTTTGTTTGTTTTTTGGTCTTTTTGAGACAGGGTCTCCCTGTAGCCCCAGCTGGCCTGGAACTCACTATGTAGACCAGGCTGGCCTTGAACTCACAGAGATCTGCCTGCCTCTGCCTCCTGAGTGCTGGGACTAAAGGCATGTACCACTACACCCAGCATGTGAGCCCTTGTCTTAAAAAAAAAAAAGAATGTGGAATCTGTTATCAGAACCCACAGGTTATCTGTATAGCTCCTGAAATAATTACCTATTGAGTGGGTATCTTGAGCAAACTGCCGCGAACCACGACTCCGTCCAGCAGAGCCAAGGAAAGACGACACAGACACCAAGGTGAGGTTCAGGCTTCTTCTCTCACTCTCACTCTCTCTTTATTACACACTTCAGCTCTTCATATAGCGTTCCCAACAGCCCTCCCCCCAGCCAGGACCAATCAGGGCACACACACACACGTGGCGGGCAGGCAGAGTGGCAGCTTATTGGGCCACGTAGCAGGATCATACTCAATGATGTCTCTGATCAAGCAGGCAGCACATGATCGGGCTTATTGTGCTTGCGCAGGTTGGAGTAAACAAGTGAGGGGCACGAGGCTTGGCAGCCAGCCAGGGCGCCATCTTGGCCGGCTTGACCGCGCCTGCTTCCCACAGCAAACCACTTAATTTCCTTAACCTCAGTGTCCTCCTCTGTTCAATGGGAAGTTTTTTTCAGTTTATAGGATTAGTATAGAGATTACGTGAATTAATATTGGTAAAATATCAGAGTGGTGTTTGATAGGCAGTAAGTAATGTCAACAAATGTTGGGGATGGTTCTCATCACCTCTGAGCCTTCGACCTAGAAAGGGCCAAGGTCAAGTGAGGCCATCATGGGTGCTACCATTTGCAACCCAGCCTTACTCTCTGCAACACATCTATATGCTGCGTGGCTTTCTAATGCACAGAATCATAAGAGCTTGCTCACTCCAGGTCTCTCCTAGCCCACTGTGGACCCCTTGAACAGAAAGTCCTACATGTTGCAACTGCTATAGCGCCTTCCAGCTGCCTTAACACCGGGAAGAGTGCAGACCTTATGTCTCCCTATGTGTCTGCTTCTCTACCTGGGGTTCAGCTGCCTTAATCTATGGATCCACTTCCTCACAGAGAGCTAACCTGGAACAGATATCTTCAAATTTAATAGGTGCACTGTACCCTCAAGGTTATCCTGACTTGGTACAGAACAAATCTGGCTGGGCTTTGGAGTTTATGGAAGAAGGGAGCTGGTTTTTAATCATTTTGTCTAAGCATCTCTTATCTGGTCTTGGGATGGCCAGGCCCACATTGTGGTTTCTGTACTTGTACCAGTTTGCCTTTGAGAAGAGTGCTGAGCCAAACTGGGTTCTAGGGTGTTCCTTTATGACACCAGGCTTTAAAAGGAAGACATCAGGATAGTCTCAAGACCAGATGATCAACCACAGTTAAGATGACCTCAGGGAACAGTAAGCCAATTGGCTCACAGAGATCTTACACTGAAACCCTGAAGGGTTCATCTCCTGTGATCTCTCCAGTAGTGAGCCACAGCTAGCTGCCTCTCCAGGATCCCTGGGGAGCTGACCCATCAGAACTGACATGATATCAGACCTGACCTGGTTTTCTCTGTAACTATTTGATTCAGTCAAACTTTTCATTTATTTTGTGTGTGTGTGCGCACACGCGCGCATGTGTGTATGTATGTATGTATGTATGTATGTGAATGTGGGTACGTGTGTGTACATATGTAAAGGCCAGAGGTCAACTTCTCTGGTGTCAACCCTCAGGATAGCTATCCACCTTGTTTCTTTGAGACAGAGTTTCTCATTAGGATCTGAGGCTCATTGATTAGGCTAGGGTGGTCAGAGAGCTCTGGGAATCTTCCTGTCCCTGCCTTCCCATTGGTGGGATTATGAACATGTGTCACCATACCCATATTTTTACATGGGTTCTGGGGATTGAACTCAGGTCCTCATGCTTGCACAGCAAGCTCTTTACAGACTGAGCTGTTTCCCAGTTTTTACTTCCTTTGCTTTTTTTCCCTCTACTCACTCAACCACTTCACCAATGTCTGCTTCCCTGGTTTTGCTTGCCAAAACACATGATCCCACAGCTAAGAGAAGAGGGGGCCAGACTTGGCCTTTTTGTATGGAGTGTCTGTCACCAAACTCCGGCACTGCTTCCTCAAGCTCATTACATCTGAGCCCATGTCCTGTAGACCCGTGGGCATAGCCCTCTGGAACCATTACCTATGGACTATTCTGATATCACCTCTGTCTTCCCAAACTGCTGACCTCGTGAGTCATCCAAGTTCCAACCTTCCCATCATGATGAACAGGTTTTTCAAAGAACCCTCCAAGTCATTTTTTACCTTGTCACATCTTTGTTCCTTGGAAAAATAAAGTCAAGTGTAACCACAATGTGCCTCTTACCTCCTCTGGAATTGCCATTTTATCAATATCCACAATGATAGCCCAGGTAGAAATGCTGACATTCCATCTACATTGATTCTGTTTTGTAGGCGACATGACCTCTAGCATTGATTCCTGATGTCTATCCTGTTGCTAAGCTTTCCATTTTATGGACTTTGAATTCCTGTCTCCCTGCTCAGAAGTTCTCCAGTTCCTCCTCTTGCTGAGTTCCTTCCCCTCCCTGCCTCTTTCCTTCATCCTTCTCCAGTAGGGTGACCCAAACGCCTTCTCTCTCAGAAAACACCTAAGTGATGTGAGCATTTCCTTTCTTTCTTGTATCCTTGTCCTTCTGCCCCCAAGTAGGTGCACAATGATTTTCTCTTGGTAACATCTTTTGAAAATGGATGGCTATGTCCATCCTCTTTGACAACGTCCACTATACCCCATCTAGTTGTTCATGATGTAACAGAAATTTTTGGAATGTGGTGCCGTGTACAGGAAAAGAGCTTTGGAAGCTCTTTCTGTCACTTCTAACTCTCAGGATCACCCAGATCTTCCTCTCGCCCAGATGGTGGGTGTACTTCCCCATCACACAGAGTGTTTTCCTCCTGACTCCGGGTCTTATTTTGCAGAATCCAACTTGGGTCTGGAAATCAGCATTCACTGCCCCTGTCACACCTTTCAGCCCAATGGAGACATCCTGGAAAATGTTCACGAGGTGATGGAAATCAAATTCAAAGGTAATGAAATGGATATGTGGTAGGATGAAGGAGTGGGTAACAAGAAACATGACCTCTGCCAGACCCCAAGAAAAAGAACTAATCTCCTTCACAAAGATATTTATTTTGTATTTGAGTAATTCTTCTTTGTCCTCAAAGCAATGAACGCGGTGTTCAGCTTAGAGAGAACACATTAGCATCTAAAAGATAGCAGAATGCTGGTACAAGCAGTGAAATCATGTAGATCTGCTGCTCAGAGCCCAGGGAAATAGGACAAGAGTACCTCTTTCATAGAATGTTACACAACGGAATGAGATAACAAATGTAAGCAGAGAGCCAAGGAATGCTCAGCAAATATGTCTTCCTTTTTCCCACCAAAAAGAAATGAACACTAGTTGCCTGAACAAGGGTCCTGGCTATGGTGCTTTCCAGATGTTGCTAGGCCCTCCTGGTCCTTTCCCAGGAGTTGTCTGGGTTGGGACAGCTGCTTTCTGGCACGGTGTTTGATCATGGGCATTTGTGTAGGGACAGTGAAATATTTTGAGAAGAATTTCAGAGAAGCTCTCTTTTTTCCTGTTCCCATTTTGGGCAGCTGAGAAGTATAGTGGTCAGAGGTGCATCTGGAGTCTTCGTCCTGCATAGCTCTTGGGCCTGGATCTTGGCAGTCCCTTACCCTGCATGGGCTCACCTTAACAGCCCTGCCCCCTTGTCAAGCCAAGAATTTGATACCCTACCACAGAACATAGAACCTCAGCCTTTCTACATCCTTACATACAGGCCAGGTTAAGGTGGTACCTTCCCACCTTTACGAATATGGTCCCTGATGCATAGATTTCCAGAAAAGGGAATTACCTACCAAAACATCCTTTCCTGAGGTCCTAGTCTCTCATGTGACTGTAAGTTCGACTCCCCATATTCCTGCCCTGGTGAAGATGGTCAGCTGTCAACGACTGCCCTTCATAAACTAGATCCCCAGTTAGAACAGACCCTTCTAAGTCAATCTCTGATCTTTTCCCTTTCAGATGAATTTTGGGCCCTCTTCCCAGAGTTGATTTGCTAAGCTGTTTATCTTATGTTCTATTATCTCATCTGAATTTGTAGTGAAAACACTTCTGAAATGCTAAGCCTAATGTCAATGTAGACAGGTTTTTTTTTTTTTTTTTTTATCTTTTTGAGACAGGGCTTCCTGTAGCCGCAGCTGTCCTGGAACTCACTATGTAGACCAGGCTGGCCTTGAACTCACAAAGATCTGCCTGCCTCTGCCTCCCAAGTGCTGGGATTAAAGGCGTGTGCCACCACACCGGTGTAGACAGTTTTTTAGTCTTGTTTTTGGTTCCCATACAGGCTATCTTAAATTGTGACACCTTAAATTGTCAGTAGGACTTCCACGATATCTTGACCAATGAAGATTCTAAAAGGAAACTCACACCCAAAGATTCTAAATCCTGGGAGCCCAGGGGCTGGAGAGATGGCTCAGTGGTTAAGAACACAGACTGTTCTCACAAAAGACCCAGGTTCGAATCCCAGCACACCCATGGCAGCTAACAACTGTCCAAAACTCCAGTTTCAGGGAATCCTCTGGCCTCTTCAGTCCTCTGTGGGCACTGCATGACACAATGGGCGCACTTACATGCAGGCATACACATAAAATAAAATAAAAAATAAAGTGGCAGCCCAAAGTTATTGGATAGGTATCCACTAGTGGCGGGGGCACTTCATGGCTCCACAAAGGAGCCTCAGGTACATCTCAGGAAGGGAGATCTGCCTTTTGGAAGACTGTTATGCAGAAGTCACAAGATCTGACTGGATGTCTGGCAGGGGACCTATGGTGACTGTGGAGTACTTTTGGTACTAGTTGCTCCTCTCAGTCTGCACTTTCCTTCAGGGAGCCTTAGAGTGAAGCTTGCTCACCCCAAGCCTTCCTCCCTCACAGAAGGCACCACCCCTCATCCCAGGTGTCAGTGATGGGCTGGGCTGGGCTGAAGAAGCAGACTGTAAGGGTACTGCTTTTCTTAGGTAGGAGGTTGTGACCTTCCCTCCCTCTGCAGGGGTGGACAATGAGGATGACCATGGCCGTGGAGACCTGGGGCGCCTCAAGAAGCAGAAGGATCACCACAACCCTCACCTGATCCTCATGATGATCCCCCCACACCGACTCGACAACCCTGGCCAGGGGGGACAGAGGAAGAAGCGGGCCTTGGACACTAACTACTGCTTCCGGTGAGCTCAAGGCCCCACAAGGAGTGAAGCCTACCCCATGCTTCCTGCAGCCGAGGCTCCCAATCTGAGCGCCCCCTGAGGGTCCCTTTCCTGCAAAGAAGATTGGAAATCTCTTCCAAATCTCTTCTTGTCTTGGCTGAAGCCTCCTCATAGTTTTCTTGTTTGAAGTATTTGCAAGGTGTCTTTATAAACAAGAAAGATGAATGCCAGAGTGTCCACTCAAGTATTTGGTTATCTATTGTCTTAGTTTCCTTCCCATTACTGTGATAAAATACTCTGGCAAAATGCAACTTCAGGAAGAAAGGGTTTGTTTTAGGTTATTATTTCAGGATACAGTCCATCATGGAGGGGGAGTCAGGGGATCAGGAGCTTGAGGCACCTGGTCACATTATGTTTGCAGTCGAAAGAAGAGAGCAATGAATGCGTGCTTAGCTTTCTCCATCTTTGCACAGCCTAGGGTTCCCTGCCTAGGGAATGATGCCACCCTCAGTGGGTGAACCTTTCCATTCCAATAAACATAATCAAGATAATCTGCCATAGGCATGCCCAGAGGCACCTCTCTGAGGTGATTCTAGATTGTCAAGTAACAATTAACACCTATGAAGGACCCAAGGATGTTACTGGATCAGAAAAATAGTGTGGTCGCCAACTCTAAACTAGAGAAATTACTGACTTCAGAAGAGAGCCCTAAACAGAGATGGAGGTGACATAGCTGCCTCTCTTCTTCAGGAGCAGTTGGCCTGTTCTCAGAAGTGGGGGGTGGGGATGGGGGGTGATGAAGCCTGCATAACCAACTCCAAAGGGAAGAAAATCGCTTTGGTAAGGGGTGTGAAGGCTAAAGGGTTTGTGAACTGGGAGCTAGGAGCACATCTGTGGACACAGGAAAGGCTGGAGTTTGGAGCAGAGCCTTCCTCTAAGGATGGGTGAGGTTTGGGTATGTAGGGACCTAAGAGCAGGGGGCACTTCCAGGGAAAGAAGGAGCAGGAAGGGTCAGTTGACTGGAGGATGCCTGAATGGAGCTTGGGTAGGTGGGGTGGAGGGTATGAATTTGGAAATGTTTAGATCTGGAAGCTTTTCAGAGGACAACTGACTAAACTACGGATGTTGAGTTCTAGGAACAGAAAGAATGGGAGAGGAAGTGTGGTTGTCGCCCCTGTTCACCTGGCATGTAGGTCTGCTCTGTGCGTCTATTTGTCAGTGAGGAGGAATGCTCTTGGCTGTAATGCAATGGTGACTTCAGTCATAGAGGATTTCTTATTCCCTTGAGGCCTGTGGCGGCAAACTCAAGGTTGGGCTGGCTGCTTGATTAGGCTCACAAGCAGACAGGCTTTCTGATCTCATCTGGCTTGCTTGGTTTGCTGGCTCTTCAGTCTCTTGCCTATGGTCATGGGGATTTCTAGGGTTCAAGGTGATTTGTCCATTAGGACAAGCACAAAGAGGGAAGGGAAGAGCCAACAGCCTTCCTCTTCTGATACTTTTCTAAATAATCGAGTATTTGTCAGAACTTACCCTACTCCCTGCCTACTTCTCAGTGTCTGGCTGGCCATCACTGCCTTCAAGGGTGGCCAGGAAAGCAAGTATCACTGGAATGGGAGGAGACAAGGGAGAAGAAGGTTAGGAATGGTCTTTGCCATTTAAAACACAAGCAATAGGAGTTTACCATGGTTCAATCTTGAAACAGATTTTGGCCAATAGTTGACTGTGGAAGCAGCAACTTTCAGGGTTATTAGGGACCTGCTGAAGCCAAGTCTAGATGCCCACTTGGCAAGGGGGACTGCCAAACAGATTTCTACAGAGTATAGGATGGGAGGGGCCTGACAGTCCCATGAAGATAACTGGAGAATCACGATTGTTATGGAAAGCTCCATGACCTTGTTGAGTTGAGTAGCCTCTGGTCTTGTCTCAGCAGTCACCGCAGCAGCATACAAGCTGCACAGACTTACAATTTATTTCTAGCTGTGTCCACGAGGACGGTAACTATAAGCCAGCCTCAAAAGAACTGACTTGTGGTGGCAACTAATGCCTACTTGTGTGTGTGTAGAACAGTTTATGTCAGATTTGTGGTGTCCACAGGGACAAGGTCACTATGACCTTTTTGCTTTCCCTCACAGCATTTGCTTTTACCTATTAACATCCTCGGGACGTTGGTCTTCAATACAGGAAAATGCCTTCCAGTTTCTTCAGCTGCTCGTGCTTGAACTTGGGATTCGACTGACCAGGGCCGCCACCTACAATGGCACAGAAGGACTCCAAGGGAGGAAAGGAAGGCATTTGTGAAGTTTCTTTATATTGGTGGTCTCCTCTTTTGTTGATTTTCTGTACATGGTTTTCGTTCTAGCAACTTGGAGGAGAACTGCTGTGTGCGGCCCCTCTACATTGACTTTCGACAGGATCTGGGCTGGAAATGGGTTCATGAACCTAAGGGCTACTATGCTAACTTCTGCTCAGGCCCTTGCCCATACCTCCGTAGTGCAGACACAACACATAGCACGGTACGGAGCAGGGTGCATGCTATTTGGGTATTGGGGCTCAGCCAACCAGGCCAACTATCAACAAGAATCAATGAAAGATTGATTGAATGTTTGAATGTTGAATGAGTGAATAATAATCTGGGCTGGGTAAAATCCCTGCAATAAGGTTTTGATCTTGGCATGCTGGCCTAATTCTACTTGGTCACATTCTGCACTTTATGCTTATTATTTATTATTGTTATTTTATGTGTATGAGTGTATTACCTGCATGTAGGTAGGTGCACCTGTGTTGTGCAATGCCCTCAGAGGTCAGAAGAGGGCATCGGAAACCCTGGACCGAAGTTACAGATAGTTGTTGGCCTGACATGTGGGTGGGACTCAAACCCAGATCCTCTACAAGAGAAGTCAGTGTTGTTAATCTGAGCTATCTCTCTAGTCCCACATTCTGTACTTTAAAATTCCTACCATAGGAGTTAGCTCATTGACAGTAGCACATGCATTGCCCTGGATTCAGTCTCTAGCACGCATGCGTGCGCATGCACAGACACGCACACACACGTGCATGCACATGGACACATACACACAGTTTCTATTATAGCTTCAACTATCCTTTTTATTTGCTTTGCCTTAAAACTTTTGAACTACAGAAGTTATTTAACTGTCACATGCCACCCTATATGTCATAGATGTGTGCACGTGGTTGGTCCTGCGAGGTTTCCACCCCTGTTTAAAGAACTCTGTTCATTGCAGCCCTGTATTATACAAAGTTATTCAGAAAGACAGAATAAAGCACATAGGAAACACCAAAAATAGAAAGAGTGGAGAGTCCACAGCCTCTGTAGCCTCTTTCCTCAAGGGGAATAAAAGGTAGGCCAGTAATTTGTGAAGCACATTTCCAGGTAGCTCACCATCACTGCCTCCTGTCTGGGGCAGACATTCTGGCAATTACTAGATGGTCCAACGCAGTGGTGAATGAGAACATTCTTTTTTTCACCACAGTGATCAGTTAGAGCAAAGACTACCTTTTGGAGGAGCTTCTTAGCCAGCCAAGTTTCCTTATCAATCACAAGTCTTGCTGTCTATGGCTCAGTTAGGAACTGAACAAGTACGTGTTCTGCATTCTGCCATGCCAGATATGCAACTAGTCTGTCTCACTCGAGCTGTTCCCACAATTCCTCTTAAATAGCCTCAATGACTACTTTACCACTTGCTTGTCTCAGAGCAGCCCCTGAGAACGTACATAGTTCCTGGGTCATAGGCTCAGGCCCAAGGCTTAGCTCTCCCCTGTGACTCCACCCACAGGTGCTGGGACTGTACAACACTCTGAATCCAGAAGCTTCAGCCTCACCATGCTGTGTGCCCCAGGACCTGGAGCCCCTAACCATCCTGTACTATGTCGGGAGGACCCCCAAGGTGGAGCAGCTGTCCAACATGGTGGTGAAGTCCTGCAAGTGCAGCTGAGGTTCGCCTGTGACAGAGGAGGGAGAACTGCCACCGCTGACAGCTGCTGCTTGGGAAACCAAAGCGAAGGACCTCACCCAGAGGCCTGGAGCCTACAACCCCTGGCTCCCAGTGAACAGCTGAGAAGGAAGCTTCCTTCTGGAACATTTCTTTCTTGCTAGCTCTGAGAATCACTGTGGTAAAGAAAGTGTAGGTTGGTTAGGGGAAGGTGAACTCTCCAGAACATGGACTTTCTGTGGTGCAAACAAGAGGTGGTGGGGTAGAGGAAGAGGGATGGTGAGCTGACATAAGTGTATGGCAATGGGATTTGGGCTACCCTAGGGAAGAGGGAGGGCAGAGCCTGGCCAGGTCAGGGCCATACTGGAAGCCACTTCAGATTTGAGGTCAGCCTTGCTCACTGTGGTACCACAACTGCTCCAGGAAATTGGGATGTCGTTATCAGAGGCAAGCATTTTTCTTCAAACAGGTTACCAAGACAAGTCCCGGAATCATTATCTTGCACTATCTGGGATTAAGGACAAATCTGTTCTTTTTTTTTTCAAACTGCCCTCCCTACATCAATCAGCATCATGGGTGATTACAGATGATGTTATTAGTTTCTGGGCCAGCAACTATATTGGGTCCTTTGGAGATGCTCAACTCAAATGCAAAAGGTAGGAATTCGACTTCTCATGTATGCCCTCTGGGCCCCTCCTCCTGCCTTCTTCCTTGGTCTTATTTCCCCTTGGATATTTGACTAGACACTTTCCTGGTCAGGGTGCACTCTTTGGATTCTGGGCCCATGCAGCCTGGGGCATCAGGGATCACTTTCTCCCAGCCTTTGAACCCCTGTGCTCCCTTAGTGTTCCTGGAAGCAGGTGCTGCGACATCTGGGGAGGCTGCATGTGTACCACACGATGACTTGGCCCCAGAGGCACAGACTGAGGTATCAAGACAAGTACAAATATTACTCTCAAAATCTTTGTATAAATAAATATTTTTGGGGATTTGTGAAACATGGATGATTTCATCTTCTGGAAGATGGTTCCTAGAACAGTAAAAGCCTCATTCTAAGGCATATACCTGACCATAAATATCTTCATTACCTGTTTCTTAATTCCACATTGGTGTCTACTCATCAGAGGTAATTGGAATCTGGGCAGAGCAGGTCTCAAACATCACTGTTGAGCATGAATACGCTGGGCAGTGGACCCACTGTGCTGTCTCTGCCATCTGAGATCACACCACTGTCTAGGCTCACTTCCCCTCTGCAGGGTGCTTTACTTACATATAGAAGCTGCCATGGCTTAGGTTCGCAGAAAAGCATACCAATCTTGGTGCTGGGTAAGAGACGGCTCAGTGGCTTAAGTGCCTATTGTACAGGAATGAGGACCCGAGTTTGGCTCCCTAGCATTCACATAAAAGCCGGGCACAGTAGTAGCCTATCTTAGAGGCTCCCAGGCCAACCAGTCTTACTGAAATTGTGAACTCCAGGGTCAGTGAGAGACCCTGTCTCAAAGAATAAGGTAGAGAGCAATAGAGGAAGACCTGGTATCACCTGATATCAGCCTCTGGTCTGTACAGGAACATTCATGGACACACACATACACACACACACACACACACACACACACACACACACATCCACGTGGAGAGAGAGAGAGAGAGAGAGAGAGAGAGTAATCTGACCTCTAAACAACTGAAGTTGCACCCCTGTGTATGGAAATATGCTGTGTATATTCAATCTAAAATGACTCGTGCCACCATTTCTGGAAATCTCACTGCAGCTCCCAAATCAGTCAAGCATTAAAGAAAAATCACCTGTGGCAAAAAGACCAGAAATGAGGCAAATTGTGGTATCAGGTTAAGCCTAAAAGAGCCAATCAGGAACTTCTTTTCAGATGATGGGTTACTTCTAAGGCGTCTGGGAATGGGAGGGGAAGGAAAGCACAACCCCACTATACCCAGGGCAATGTGGAGTTCTGCTGTGGTATTAGCGTTCATCTGACGCAGCCTCTTGCAGTGGGTGAGCAGAGAGGAACCCTCTAGTCTAGCGGTTCCTGGAAGCCACCTTCCTTGGCATGTTCACTGAGGCCTAGATTGAAGGATGTGTACATGCCTCCTTGTGTTCAAGTGCATGCACACCTTGTTCCTTGAGTTCTTAAGGACTGAGTTCCTGAGTTTGGTCACCAAGACTTTTTGTGCTGTCCGTGCCCAGCCAATTCTAAGGGTTGCCCTGTTTTCATTACTCCATTGTCCTTCAATGGCCCATGTCCCTGGCCTGAAATCCTGGCTGTGGAAGTACACTGCCTTACCCCAAGAGCTTGTGTGTGTGTGTGTGTGTGTGTGTGTGTGTGTGTGTGTGTGTGATAGTGGGATTATGTGATGACAGCAGGGTCCAGGCTGCTTACATAAATTACCTTTTGGGAAGCAGTACACTGCATCTGACATGGGTTCTTACTGGCATGGATAAGGATGTGGGACATAATCTTTCTACCCCTAGACTAAACATCCTTCTTACCTGGCCTGCCAGGGCACTCACTACTCAAAGTTTGAACCAAGACAATTAAATGTGCTTCTTGAAGTTATCTCAACAAACAAACACATTGTTAATTCCAAATGTTTTCATGTCAGGCGCTACTCACATTAAGCAACAGATATGAATAGATGATCTGGGGTCCAGCTTTCCCTTTACATGGCTGCTCGCAAGTGCTATAGCCACTTGAGCCACTGTCTGTTTTCAAAAGTGCACACTTGTTTTGCGGAGACTGACAACATGGGAAATGCCACCTCTGATGGAGGAAGGCTCAAACAATCCCTCTGGTTTATTACCAGCCCAGTACCAGGAAGAATGACTTAGAAGTGGTGTAACAGTGAAAGACATGGAGTCTGGTCTTAGCACCTGGGTGAGGAGAGACTGTAGCTTGAAGATGAATTCTGACTGGGTACCTAGCACAATTCCAATGTGGCTGATCTGAAAGTTCTTATTCTAAGCTCATAATTTCTTATTCTGTTTCACAAGATTCCTATTTTGGGAACTCCCAAGATCTTTCCTCCAATTCTATACATCAGAGGGGGAATTTGGATACATTAGAAGTTACCTCCTAACTAACTCAAACCAAGAGGACTAACAGTTAAGATGGTCATCAAACTACTACCCCGAAGTCCCAGGACCACATGGAAACCTTTTTTTCTTTCCCACTGTTGAGGTTCTTATCCTCCACAAACAAAAAGCTTCAGTGTTCCCAAACCTGTTCACTCACTATAAATGCAATAAAGTCCCCCTTCTATCTGTCTGCATATTCCTCTTCCTTCTCTTCTTGTTTGTTGAAACAAGGTCTCAGAGACTCTGTAGCCCAGGCTGGTATGGAAATCAATGTGTAGCCTGGCCTAGCCCAGTCTCTAGCTGGTGGCAATCCTTTCCTTTTGGGTGCTGGGATTATAGGCACGAGCCACCATACAACCTTCTGTCTTCTTGTCATTTTTTTTTCTTTGGATTTCAACACCATCTGAAGGGGCTTATTGTAGAAGTCCAACCATTAGCAGAAGCTGCAGGAAAGACCCAGTGAGGTAGACAGAAGTCAAGGTGTGCTGCAACACCCAGAGGAACTATGCAGGTAGGTGGGCAACTGGGCATGTTCACACCCCACTGCAGGACTATGCTGAATGAACTGGCTTCCAGAGGCCACAGTTCCAGGGTGTGAGAGTTGCCCTTAGAGACTAGCTTGGCCCTGCCATCTACTCAAATAATTTCTTGATAACTTCCATTATAAAGTAAAAATTTAAAAAAATTGTCCAACAATGAAATAAAACGAAAAGGTGATCCCAATTCAGCTCTGATTGTGAATACTGATTGCTGGGAAATCAGTGAATAGAAATAAAAAGGAGAGAAAAAAATCGCATTACTTTATTAATCTTAGAAGTCAGTAATTCCAAAGGGTGCCTGGATCTTGGTAGTTGCCTCCCAACTCTTTGTGCAGTTTACTTCCCTCCCCTACACTCTTGGAGAAGGAAAGAGCAATTCTGGTGGAATACTGTTAGGATCTGAAGCTTGTACAAAATAAAACAAATCTCAATACTCCAATCTGGAAAAAAGCAGAAGCCAGATGCAAATAGCCAAAGAGCCTCTTTATATTATCTCTGAGCAGCAGCAGGAGAGGAACAGAGACCTAGTAGGGTGGGGAGGGAGAGGGCAGGGAAAGATGGACTTGCTCTGACAGTACAGAACACATTGGGTGAGTGTCCCCACTGCCAAGTTCCATCCAAACCCAGAGGGCCTGTTTCCCTGTTGTCTTGGTAAAAGTCTGGCTTGGCTGATGGCAACCATCTATTGCCACTTCTGCTTGAAGGCTTTGGGGACTCTGAGGCAGCAAAAAAAAAAAAAACAAACCATAGACTCCTTGAATCGCTGGTGGAGGCTTTGCCTCGGTCATGCTCCAGGAGCAGTGAGCAGGTCCTTCCTTCCTCCATGTCTCCTCTGTGGTTCATCTGTCAGTGTGAGTGCAGTCTGGAAAAGAAAAGAGGCTGAGTGACTGAAGGACAGTTACTCCTTTACAGAAGGCTCTAGACTATTTATTGCCACTCAACAATGAAGGAGGGGTGGGTCTAACAAAGAACATTTTCATCATCTGTTAACAGAGGGACAGAACTGGAACCCAAGCACATAACTCTTCATTTTAATGTTTGCTGGAAGTTGTCTGAAAACATTGGTGCTCTATGGCTGCTGCTTTTTGGATGGTTTTGTTTGCTTTTTTTCTTGGACAAAATCATTTATATTTAATTAGTCTTTAAAGAAACTGGGCTTTATTGTGTTGCTCAGGCGGACCCTGAACTCCTAGGCTCAAGCAATCCTGCTGCCTCAGCCTCCTAAGTCTCAGGAACCACAGGTGTGTGCCATCAGGTCTACTGTCATGAAAATAATTTAGCCTCCTTCACGAGGCCTAGTGGTACACCTTGGTGGTCCCCCTACTCAGGAAACTGAGGCAGGAGGATCACCTCAGCTCAGGAGTTCAAGGGCAGCCTAATGCAACACAGTGAGACCTCTCCTGTCTAAAACACTAAACACCTCCTCTTGTTTCTCAAACAGAAGATGCTAACTAAATATGCCCACCTTTTTCAGAACTCATGGTCAGCATCAGCATTTTCAGACTGCATGGCAAAAGATTGCATGCACACTTTTGAGATTTTTCTGTTTTGTTTTCTGAGACAGGGTCTCACTATGTAGCCCTGGCTGGCTTTGAGTTCCCTATGTAGACCAGGCTAGATTCAAATTCATAAGAGAACTACCTAGCTCTGCTTTTCAAGTGCTGGGATTAAAGGTGTGCACCACCACACCTAGCTGTGCTTTTGAGATTTTTAAAAATCCCTGATGTCAGGGGCTGGAGAGATGGCTCAGTGGTTATGAGCACTGGCTGCTCTTGCAAAGGACCAGGGTTTGGTTCCCAGCACCCACATGGTGGCAAACAACTGTCTGTAACTCCAGTTCCTGGGGATCTGACACCCTCTTCAGACCTCTGCAGGCACTGAATGCACGAGCGCACTTACATGCTTACAGGCAGAACACTCATACACATACAATCAAACAAATAAAGAAGCTTTACTTACTGTGTATCTGTTCACCTTATCTAACACTATTTAATTCGATTTGGTTTGGGGATGTACGGTGCTTCCTCTATGTGTTCCCTGCCCCTGCAGTGGTCCATTTTTCTCCTCAACCCTTACACTTACAGAAACTACAGAAACAAGCCTCAGTTGCAAATATCTGTAAATTGAGTGAGTTGACATTGGTATCTCATTAGCATTTCCTGGGAGGACAAGAGGCATCTTAAAGTATCTACTGTAAATTCATGTTTCTGCCGTGAAATGCCTGGATGTGCTTTTTCCTTATTTTCTTGAGTAACAAATGATTTTTTAAAAACCAGTTTTATTGACACACACAATGCTTTTATTATATTCAGAGTTCTGCATTTATCACTACAATCAATTTTGGAACATTTTCATCATCTGGAAACAGAGGTAGAGCTGAACTTGGGACCTGGCTATACTCCATAAGGCTCACAGCCCCATTTCTTCCAGCTAGTCCCCACCTCCTAATGGTTTCACAATCT